GCCCCAAGTTTGAATAAACGCTCGCTCGGTTGCAGAGACCACGAGTTTCAAGTTTGATTAGGTGGTTTAATACATAGAGATATGCCTATACACAAAATTTACCTACATAGGTGGCGACAATTTTTTTTTTTTAAACGGGAACAGTCTCTTCTTTATCAGGTTCCCCCCGTTCTCGGATTCGCTTTTACTCCCATCGTCGTCGTCATCATCATCGGAAACTAGAGCTTCAGCATCAACTTCGAGTTCTTTTGCCCTTTTTATCTCTCCCGTGAGATCGATGCCACGAGCATGAATCTCCTCGAGAGTTTCTCCCCTGGATCGGTACTTAGCAAGTTCGGCGACCCAATGCGCCCGACCATTGGCAGATTCGGCTGCCTCTCTTGCCTGAACTTGGGCAGCTTTAGCATCATCCCGATAGATGGCCACGAGCGCATCCGCATAAGTCTTTTCCATTTCAGCATCGTATTCGGCCTTGGCGAGTACTGAGGCCAACCGAGCCTCGAGCTCCTCAATTTTTCTTGCTTGAACCAGGCCTTTTTCCTTCATTTTCTGAAGTTTGGTTTCAGACGATGATAACTGGGCTCGAGCAGTCTCTTTTTCTGCAGCAAAGTGGTCCATACCTTCTTTCCACCGCAAGGATTCCATCCTTATCACATCGACCTCCTCACGCAGCTTCCCTATCATCTCGATTTTTTGCTGCAGCTGTGAGACCGAAATGTTAGCTACCGTTCTGGTATCGAACCCATAGGTTTTCAAAAGCATCATTATCTGCTCAGACAAATCATCCTGGTCTCGATAAGCCTTGGCCAGCTCGGCCCGGAGATATTTTATTTCCTCCTCTCTCTGCCCTAAGGAAAGTTTGAGAGAGTTCCTCTCATCGGTAGCACGTTTCAGGTCGGCCGTGTATCAATGTAGCTCATTCTAGGAACGAGAAAATTGTTCTCGATGGACCGCCGCAACCTACGAAGGAACAAGAAGCGAAGTTAATAAAAGATGAACATAAAGGCAATACCAACAAAATTTTTTAAAAAAAGACTCACCTGGTTCAAAGCCTGCCGCAAACCGTGAAAAAGATCCGATTCATCACCGGCACTGGCAACATCCTCGATACCAGTAAATAGGTCACGAAACGGATCCTCTTCATCGTGAGGCCTACCTAGATCGAGGGCCCCCAGAGCTTGAGCTTCCCGAATCACCCCTGCGGAAAAAGCGGGAAAGGTAGGCGAGTCCTCGATCGTTGCTGCCCCGAGTGACTCGCTCGGAGCATTCCCCTCGGCTTGGAGGGGTTCGAAGGGCTCTTCGAGTGTAACCCCTGCCGGCTGGTTCTGATGAGAGGCGTCTTCGACATCCGATAGTTCGAGGACTCTACCAGAACCTCTCTCCGGTATATTTTCAGTTCGAAACGGAGCCCCATGGGGCATCATCGATCCAGCTGGCGTTGAAGCATCGGTAACTCTCTTCGTCCGGATCGCTAGCGTGGACTCATTATCCTCTTCCTCTTGTTTTTCTTCATCCCTTAGGCGCAAAACCGATTCTACGGTCAAAGGAATAACTTTCTTGTTCGGCTTATGAGCCGTCCTCTTCTTCGGTTTTGGATAGTCGGGCAACGAAGCTCTCTTCCTTTTACTTTCCTTCACCGGCTTTGGAACGAAGGTCAAGACATCCTCCTCATTAGACAGAGGTATCAAGACCGCGTCCTTACCCAAACCTGCATATGGGAAACTTTATAAAAAATATCGAGAAATGCCTCGTCAGAGTCCGAGAAATGAGCTTACCATGATTTTTGGCCTCCCACCGACCTTTAGACAAATCACGCCATGAGCGTTCTGCGTATGTGGAAGTCAAAACAAGATCCCGTACCCAATTCTTGAGGTCGGGAACCGCTCCGGGCATCCAGAGAATCGCTACATCATGAAAAGAGGAGTGTCGATAAGAGAACAAATGAAAGAACAAAATAGAAGCAACAACAAAATCACACTTACGTTTCAAATTCCACTCCTCGGGAAAGGGCATCTTTTCAGTCGGGATCAGGTCCGAAGTCCTTACTCGAACGAACCTGCTCATCCAACCCCGGTCTCTGTCCTCGTTAATACTCGAGAACAAAGCCTTGGTAGCTCGACACTGGAGTTTTATTAACCCTCCCCAAAAAAGTCGGGGATGGTACATCCGGATAAGATGATCGAGGGTGAACGACATCCCCTCAATTTTGCTCACGAAATATCGGATCAGAATAATGATCTGCCACAAAGAAGGATGGACCTGGCCTAAGGTTACCTGATACTGTCGACAGAAGTCGATAACGACGGAATCGAGGGGACCTAAAGTGAAAGGATGAGTATATACGTTCAAAAACCCTTTCACGTGAGAAGTGATATCTTCGTCAGGGGTAGGTATTATCACTTCTTTTTTTCCCCAATTACAGTCCTTCTTTACCAGATCGAGGTGCTTCTCAGTGATCGAACACATGTATCTCGATACCGGCTCACACCGGCCAGGGACCGATGAACCTTTATCAATATTAAAATCTGAAGTAAGGACGCACGCCTCGGGGACACACTCCTCTGGCAGTGGCTCCGTCGGTGTCTCATCGGCGCCACAATGTGAAGATGAAGCTTTCTCTTTCTGAGGAACGGTTTGCGATATTTTCGCCATTTTTGAATTCAAAAATAAAGAGTAGAAGAAAGTGATAAAGATTTGGTAGAATTGAGGGGTCTTTTCGGAAAGAAATCATAGCTTTTTTGGTAGGCTGGAGAGTATAAAGAAGAAATTGAAAAATTTTAGAAGATAGAAGATGCAAAATGGTAAAAGGTAAAGGTGAGAATTATTTATAGGTTCAAAGCGACGGCGGTTCATTATCAGCAGTGGCCGACCACCGCCTGAAATGCATTAAATTCCTTAAAAGACTAAACCGACACGACGTCCATCATGTGCGTCATGGTCGAACTCGATGGAATCAACAAGATATAATCCGATCGAGCCGTTGAAAATCATATCGTTTCTCGTCATATTTTTTTTCTGAGAAACGAGGGGACTATCTGTATACGGTCGAAATGGATTTCAGCCTTGGCATGTCCGGTACGGTTCGAAGGGTGGTATATCGAAGTAAGATCCCGAAGGGGGGCATGAACTAACCTAGAGCCCGGGGAGGCCGGCCCGTGTTGAGATCGATATCATAATCAAACTCGAACAAGAATCGAACCATGGCGCGGGTAGATCTATCGTGTTGATAATCCAAAAATCAACCTACGTCGACCTGGAATCAATTCAAGGGCTCGAACTAGGGTCGGGCTCGAACCAAGGTCACAAGTTCGAACCGAAATCGAGCTCGAACTAAAACCGAGGATTCTAAGCAAGNTACATCGACCTGGAATCCATCCGAGGGCTCGAACCGGGATCGAGCTCGAACCAAGATCACGAGTTCGAGCCGAAATCAAGCTCGGACCAAGATCGAGGATTCTAAGCAAGATCGAGCTCGCAGACAAAAGCCATTGTAATCCCACTAGAGAAAATCTTGGCAGAAATTATGGAAAAGCTGATTTATCATGGGTCTCCCACTGAATGTTTATTTTATTATACTTGTAGCCAAACCCCTTCAATATAAAAGGGCTTGTTTATCATTCTTATATGGATCCTTTTTTGGGGGACTTAGACTGTCACAAATTGTATTATTTCCTCTATGAGAAAATAGTGATCTTTCTAGTCTCGGACATTGATTCTATTTTATCCTAAATTCACTGTTCATAATTGATTTGCCTGGATTACGTTTTCTCCAACCTATATTCATCCTTTTATTTTATCTTAGCGTTCTGTATTAAGTTGTATCACATATCTTCGGAACCGCGTATAAATTTAACTCTATCCATTTATTGGGTAAACAACCATATAAGAAGAAGAAACAAAGGTCATCATGTGATCAAACCTTTTGTTAAAGAAAACTATTTGTTATTCAAAATTAACTGATTAAACTTATTTAAATGAAAGATGCTCTATTGCTCTTTATTAGGAATATTTTTATTTTTAGGATTTGAACCCAAAATTCTAATATATTTCTCTCATATCTCTCGGTGGTAATCCTACCTCCTTCGATTGTGCTTCACCACTCACCAGGCAACTTGTTAATAAAGTGGTACTTGTAGAATTTTTCATCATAATAATACTACTATTTTGATATTTTACTTGTTTATAATTTACTGCTACATCATGTGATCATACCTCCTGCTTTCAAGCACTGTCTACCGTGAAGACGACAAATGGTACCGAAAAGAATATCATATACACTTCTAACTTATTGGTTGTACTCTGACTTTATTATCCGGATCTAAGTTTCCTGGATAGAATCTATAATCTAGTAGTAATAAAGTACTGGTTTTATTATTACAAGATATTAAAGTGGAAGGAAATTCAATGGTGGAGTTGAGACCAAGACCTCATCATTGAAAGATAGGAAAGTATCCAAGTGAAGCCTAAAGTAACAGGCAGCATGAAAGGAGAAAATACATAAATTCAAGAAGTCTTCTGTACAAATTCTCATCAAATTTACACCCAAATACTAGAGGAAAGTTTTATATAGAGTACTAATATTCAAATAGTTTTGGTCTTTCTAGTTGTATTTCTTGTTTCTTGGATCCGAAAATTCTCCCAGTTTTTTTTTTTGGGACTAGAGTAAAGAAAAAGTATGGCAACATGCTGGCAGCAATCAATAAATGCCTCCACGAATACAAAATGAATCAGCTCCATCGAATTTAAAATATCTATTACAAAATTGTTTAAATATATTATCAAGTCACTTTAAGATAATGAAAGGTAATCGTTCAGAAAAAAATAAAATTAGTAACATAAAAATTAGACAAATTACTTATTACAACATACAAAAATAATAACATTATGCTATTTTTTTGTACTATCAATCAGTGTAAATAAAAGTTTAATCCATTACAAAAATGGAAAGAAAAAAGTCACTTCTTGTTGGCAATTCAGCACTTTTTTCCTTATTTAAGAAGGTAGCTAAGGATCATCCAAAGAACAAGGTCTAGTGACCATTAGTCTCACTACTGTCTCTTCTGAGTAAAGAAAAAATGGGTTTCAAAGTTCTCTTTTTCTTTGCTATCCTCTTCTTTTCAGCTGTCTCTGCTTTTGCAGAGGACAACTCTGGCCTTGTAATGGACTACTACAAGGACACTTGCCCTCAAGCTGAAGATATTATCAGAGAACAAGTTAAGCTTCTCTACAAACGCCACAAGAACACTGCATTTTCTTGGCTCAGAAATATCTTCCATGACTGCTTTGTTGAGGTACAAAAAATCTATGTTGTTTTTCTTTTTTTTTTTTAGCCACCCTTTTTGAAGATGTTAAATTAACATATGACAAACAACTGAACATTTATTTTTCTGCAGTCGTGTGATGCTTCATTGTTGCTGGACTCAACAAGAAGGATGCTGTCTGAGAAGGAAACAGACAGGAGTTTTGGTATGAGAAACTTCAGATACATTGAAACTATTAAGGAAGCTGTAGAAAGGGAGTGCCCTGGTGTTGTTTCCTGTGCTGATATTCTTGTTTTGTCTGGTAGAGATGGCATTGTTGCTGTAAGTTTTTAAGAAATTTTCTTTCTTAAAGTGTTTGTTTCCTTTATTTCTGTGTGTACTTGTAGTAGTAGATCTGGATTTACTCTAGTCAATAGTTCATAAAGTTTCCAACTTTGAACAAACATTTACTCTGTGGGTATGACTCAAGTTCTTGTCCTTTCGTACTAAGTGGAGCATTAAGGAGAAGACTTATCCATATATGTGTGTTTAACAAGTTCAGATATTTGTCTGTGTTTCCTTTTTTGGCTTTTAAAAGTGGCTTGGTTAAATTGTACTCCTATCTACTGATATGTAATGGACTTGTACAACAGCTAGGAGGGCCATATGTCCCGCTCAAAACAGGAAGAAGAGATGGAAGGAAGAGCAGAGCAGACATTCTTGAGCAACACCTCCCAGACCACAATGAAAGCATGAGTGTTGTT